CAACTATTCCAAGGAATGTATTGTAGTGTATATGCGCGAGCGACGTACAGTGTACAATCCTAGGACAAGAAATGAACAGGGGTTAGTTGGTCACTAATTCTATAGCATTCTTCCCAATTCTCACACAACACTACCTCGAAACACATGCCTACACCAGGAAAGTACCGTTTGTAGCGTATGAGGGTGTGCGTGAAAGATATGGCGTGCATCCTTGCGACAAAAGACGGACGGTCGAGGTATTGCAGCCTGAGTTTCCGCATGTAGATTTCACCCACATAGATGTAGGCGAGGACTCTCTTTGGACACCCACACGCGAAACCGAAGAGAATGTTAAACTGAGGTAGGCAAGCTAAGTAGCGTATGTAACTTGTGTATGTATCTGTATGGGCTTTTTGGTTTATTCATACACGCACTGGCTCTTGTTTCAGATACCCGTTTGAACAGTATATCTGCCATACTTAGCTTCGGTAGGTATAGATCTACGGGCTGCAGTGGCCACTCCGAATACACACCTCGCTGTGGAATGGCCATATCGTCCCTATACCCACATTGGAGTGGTACCTTTCTGTTATTCTCACCCGAAGATCAGATTGCACGTATAGAGGTACAAGTAGAAGCATGCAACAAATACGAATGAAATTTACTTCCGTCTGCTCTTACGAACACAGCTTAACTTTGAAACAACAACGACTATACACCCCACGATATATGACACGCCAGTCGGGTTACTTCCTTAGTTTCAGTATCGTTGTCATAGTACGTACTACATGTAAGTTCGAGTGTGGTGCCAGATACGAACTATAGAAATAAGTCCCTCTGATTCTCCCGTAGGGTTTTGGCTTTCTTGAAATTCCTCGGCACTCGAGCAGAAACGTCTATCGCAGTCGTCTCGCATAACGATTTTCTATCGACTTTCTTCAACGTAATTGAAGGCCCTGATAGCCTACGTGGCAGGTATGCAACTCAAATGTGTATACAATCTGTATACATATATGTATATTAACATATGTGTAATTTGTATACATATATGTATATTCACATATATGTATATACGAGTACGTTTATATATATATATATATATATATTGACACATACACAAACACACACACGTTTACACACACACACACATATATATATATATATATATACATATTCATGGTGTGCTAAATTGTTTGTACGTGTATATACGGTATGTCCATAATGAAGAACATTTGAATTTGATCATAAACACTAGTCATATGCCAAGACTTGCCAGTCCAGATTTTATTGAATGGCTGGTTGTACTAAATATATGTCTTACTGTCGTATGGAAGTTAATCAAACTGTACTGCCACAATAGTTTTATAAACATGTATATATATATATATATAAATAGATACTGTGTTACACCTGAACTTAAGAAGTGATTCGTAAGATATCTACCACATACTTGTTCACCGCATTGACAAAATGACAACGCTAGAGATATGTTTAGTTGGATGCGGTGCTAGATCGAACAGCGCAGTCTCAAAACTTTTCGACTCTACTTCGTTGATTGAACCAACATTTGTTTCTCCTAATACCAGATTCTATAATTGTGAACGAAGGACGGTGGTACTAACCACCAGGTGGCAGTAGGAGATTATAAACATCGCGCACTTGAGGCACACTTCGTACATGCCGTCCATTTCGTCCTTGAAGTACACATTACGTGTAGCAATGTGGACCGGGCCATGCTCGTATGGAGCGTATTGTGGCTCTATTTGATTGAATCGGAGGCTCGGAGCTGTACCAGTTGTTGAACAATTATGAGCCTTTAGTGCCTTGGTCTCAACTCGCCACCCTCTAACTACTAGGAGAGCCCCAAAGACTTCAATTGGCAAACTCCCACACACGAGTAACAAAATATATATACAAATTTCCGTACATAGGCCATAACCCGTAGCCCGTAAAACCTGCCTTCTAAATAAAACCAAATGTTTGATTTCAGAAGGCTATGTATGACATTTAAATACATATAAATATTTCATAGTATAGTGCTGCACCATATGCTTGCGTAGTTATTTTTAAAATAAATAAATATTACATACATATGCACCATATGTAAATAAATACTAATTGTACATGACTAACAATGTAAATATGTATGTATTTACTGCATGTGTAAATACTATGTGTACATGACTAACTAACTATGTAGATGTATGTATTTACTCCATATTTAAATACTTGTGGTTTTGTTCGTTGAAAAATAGTACAGAGGTACTCATTCTCTGGAATTGTCAATACAAAACGCAACCAAATCTATTTACAAATTACAAAGCCTCCATTATAATTTTATCACACAATAGCGTAGACGTTCTGATTGGCGAATCAGAAGTTAAGATCCAATCAAATCATATATATTGACACCCGCACTGCGCAGGTGTATTGCCCACGCGACCAGATGTTTTATTAAATTTTTGTTTTAAATTTTTAAAACGGGAACACTGTCGAAATGCACCGTCTGATATATAACTCATTGCTAATTTTATTGGCGACTAGAATTCTTCACAAATATGTGCAACCTTGGCCGACGCACGCGTGACACTACGGCATATCTAGTTCTTATCTTCCACACAGCTTTCACAATTGTATAGTCTTATTTATCGAGCACATCTATCAATATTATACCATTTCGACAATTTTATAAACACAACTGATTACTAGAGTAGATTGAGTGCGTGTTGTGAGGCATCCCACGATCAGACACTATGCCGAGCGAAACAGACAGACTATTGGCGGAGCACACGGACAACACCAACAGCAATGGTACCAACCAAAATACAGCACAACATGGCAGCAAGTTGAAATCACAAGTGACAGAGGTCGCATCGTTGGATGGCGATGTACCCTCATCTGGCGACGAAGACCCTTTCACATCGCACTCGAACGTATTAAGATTCGAATGGGAAGATACACGCGCTGAAGTGGCCTCGAGGCTACACCTACAGGAGATATGGGATACGTGCGAGGTGTATCCCGAGTGGCAGAGGCGGCTGCTTATCAAAGAGATCGGATCTGCATACTTACGGTACAGTATACCTTTACATATACTAGAGTACCGCATCACTATGATTGCTATGAGATTGCACGAGCGTGTCAGGCTTTCCCATACATCATCGGGGGCACTACTTATACTGTTTTGCGAAGAGAAAGTTTTCGTAGACAGGCCAGACGGTGACAAAGATGCCAATCGAGAATACGTCGAGTTGGTCCCGGCGGGAAACAAGGATGTAAATCTGGCCAAAATGGTGGATGTCGAGAAAGTCGCAGATAGCATTATAAACGGGCAGTCTTGCCGGACAGCACTGAAGCGCTTGATAGAGATACGACATGCGCCCGATACACCCTGGCCCAAGTGGGCGTATATACCGGCCGCTGTGGGCTTTGTCGTAGGTTACGGCCCGCTATATAACGGTGCTGGTGTATATGAGACACTATGTGCTGCATTAGTAACCTTGATTGTGAGCTCACTAGAGGTGTACTGGAGTGTCTTTCATCGTGTAGGTTTGGGTAAACAGATGCTGGTTGCATTCCTTGCTGCTAGTGGCGTGGCTATATTTCACATATACATCCAGCAAATCAATGTCATGAACGCAATTATGACGAGTCTTACCTGCCATCTCCCCGGGTTAGCTCTGACCAATGCACTTACGCACGTAGTCTTTGGATACAACCATGTAGGTGCACACGGACTCGTGCAAGTGTTGGTGGTGTCTGCTAATCTCGGGGTGGGTGTGATTGGCGGATTGACCTTCGTGGGAAGTCTTTCGGGCCATATTATTTTGCCGAGTCTGGCTCCAGTATCGCAATTCGCATGGTATATACCGCATATCTCGATTGTCTTATCGTTGGTGCCCACAGTTATCTTAAACAAGGGAAAGTTGTCGCATCTCCATTGGTACGCGCTCGGTACCTTTGCCGCATACTATGGCACCCAATTCGGACACAAAGTGATGGGTATTGACCAGTTTGCCTCGTGTGTGGGTGCTACGGTAACTGGTGTGATCGCCAATGCATATGGAAACTATACTGATAGTGGGCCAGCCATAGAACTCGTGCTTATATCTATAATTGCGATTGTGCCGGGAAGCTTCACGCTGAATTTCACGACGGCTATGGATACTGCAAGCTCCATCTCGCTTGCGAGAGACATGATGATCGTAGCTCTGTCGATCGTCACCGGACAATTTATTTCATGCGCTATCCTACCACCAAAACGACAGCTTTAATCCGTATCAGGAGCTGTAAGCTGCTGGTTAGGTACTGCTGTGAACAACATATTTATCAAAAGACACGGGAAGTGCACACGGTAGACCGAATGGTGACCCGAGTTATGGTACAATACACACCATGCAGCTATCTCCCTGGGCCCTGGGGGTGAATCTACAAAATATGTCGGTATCAAAAAATCAAGACAACAAATATTTTAATTTTAGAAATTTAGCATAGCCCCTCGTTTTTATTACATTAGTAGGCTATGAATCATTATATTGAATTTAGCAAGAATAAATACACTTGTGTGCTGGCGGCTGCACACCATCTTCTCTTGGGAATATACGTATCTTCTCTTGATCATTCTTCTATTATTCCTAGTGGTTTCTACGTCCACATCCCACGATACAGATCAACTCACTCTACTGCCTTGTCGCCAAAAGAGATAAACTACAAATAGCAACATCGATACGCTAGTTAGTTTCTTCATCAAGGTTGTGACTATAAGCTTTAACGCAACGCATAATTCTGCCCCAGAAGCTCAGTGTGCAAGGAATTGGTCAGGTATGACGGATTTCTAATGATAAAATGAATGAAATGGCCTAGTGAATATATATGTAAGCACCAGTAGAGTGATATATATATATATATATATTTGCACCAGTAGTGATATATATATATATATATATATTTGCAACAGTAGAGTGATACATATAAATACATAATTTTTTATTACGTGTACACG